CCAGAACTTTTGCAGTTCCAACAGATCATCACGGAATCAACTGTACCACTATTCCTATTACTATTACTATTAACATTGCTATAAGCACTACTATTACTATTACTATTATTATTACTAGAAGAGGGACCTGGTGTATTCATATCTGTATACACGTAGGCAAGATCAGGTTCCATCAAAGGACTCCTATTCCGTGGTGGGGGTACGAAGGACTCTATAGCCTCCTTTCTAGCCTCCAACTGTCTACTTAATTGGAGCAAGTGGCTTGTAGAATTAACGGTTACCAGTCCTAATTGGCTTTGGTAAAAAGGCGATATATTCCGTAGCAATATTTTCAACCGCGCTGCCTCACTAACTGGTACAGTGAGTCGACTAAACATATTTGACATTATCGCCAGATACATCCCCATTGATTCATTAGGGCCTTGAGTACGATGTCTTATTTCCTGCAATAATTTCTCATTGAAATTTGGAGGGTGGAACTGAAGTCTCAGCTCGCTAACCAAATCAGCCCAAGAATGGACTTGAGATCTTATGGCCCTATACCATATCAGTGCCTTACCAGCAAATAAATCAGAGCCACAACTCAAAAGTTGATCTTTCGGCACGTTTCGAGAAGTACATAGATCTTCAACATTTTCCAAAAATGCATTGAGGGATAATTTACTATTATCACCAGTGAATTTATTTAGATTCCATTTGGCAACCGGAATACTATAATTGTGACTCAGTGGTGGGGTTGAAGTAGCAAAAGTTGAAGATTGAGGAGGATTAGCAGTTAGTGGTGGAGGATCTTGCTCCGTATCTGAACTCTCACTTTCCGACGTACTCGAAGAGGAATTTCCTAAATTACTTAGTTCCAAAGGGGTAGCACCCTGTTGGGAAAGTCGTTTAAATTTACGAACTCTTGATTTGAGAGAGGACTGCAAGTTTAAGAGATCAACTAAAAATTTTGATTTTGCTACATGTTCTGCATCTTCACCTGAAATGACTTTATTTGCCCGACAAAAAGCGTGATTCAACTTAGTTACGATTTTAAGATATCCTGAGCTCGATTCAGTACCTGAAAAAGCCGTGATCATATTGGTCAACTCTTGAAACTTGACTTGCAGACAATCATAATCAGTTTTGAAATCGAACGGGTATGCGGGATAATTAAAAGGAGTACCAATTCGCTCCAATTTGAAATACCCTCGTAAACATTTGCGCATATCCTCTACAGTGGTTTTGTCTGTCACCCCCCGAACCGCTAGTTCATATACCAACTCATCCTTTTCGAGACGATTGATATCTATTTTACCTTCCATATTTGCCTAACCGTTACTAATACCGGTCTTTTATCGAAAAATCACTAAATGAACAAAACGACGCTGGGCGTCGGTAGGCGTCGGTAGGCGTCGGTAGGCGTCGGCCTACTAAATAACCGAACACGAAAAAAAAAAAATCGTTGTAGTCTGCAAACGATTATTTTCAGCAGTTTCAGCGCATTCCAAAATCATTAACTGAATAAATGCAGCAACAAATAAAATAAAATCGATAAATGACGCCGGGCGTCTGTATCTAGAATACAAAAAAAATTAATCGCGATCTATTAAATCTTAACAATTTCTTATACTCGGTGGATGGATACAACCGCACAAAAACGCGCCGCAAGAAACGGATTAAATAAAAACCTGAAATGCCGAGCTACGGTCCCCGTCGATGCATAGCAGAATGAATATTTATGTTGGAAACTATCTTATCGCATCAACAAGATACAATTATTATATCGGAACAATAAAATCTACGAATCGGCGTTGGACGTCGTGCTACAAACCAGACGAGTCATATGAGTGCTTAATAATATGCTTACATACAATAAACATTGAGCAATAACACTAGTATTGTTCAATCGATACGATATACACTGAATAATGCTTGGTAGTGATCATCCTGTATAAATGAATATTCGTGATTATAGAGATTGTTACTGAAAAGAGAAAACACTAACTCAGTGACATCAAATGAGTGATATTCCAAAGAAATGTTTGAATTACTGGTTTTCCAACTTCATCACTGGAAAACTATTGAAATAAAAAAAACAACAGTAAATGAAAATGAACAGTAAATATCTTCAAATACTTATGTATGGTGCATCTAACTCTAACTGTAACATTCGATAGATACTAGCTAAATAATATCGAATTGATTAAAAAAAATAAAAATCAATCCGTCGCGCTGCTACTGCTCACAAAAAATTTCATACTTTCGAAAGGACTGGTTAAAAATGCTTTATATTCACTAATTAATGATCAACAAGTGAAAATTAACCCGAATAATGGTAAATCTCAAAATCGACGCCGGGCGTCCCGACGCTAAAACGACGCTAGGCCCCACGTTGGGCGCCAAATTTGCCACGTGCCCTCTGTGCCAAATAAATAAAAAAACGGATGCCTCAAAGCACGAGCAATTGGTTCACTCGGCACTCAGCCGGGTATAGGGTGGGTTTCGAAATTCTATAATGTTTCTAATTAAAAAAAATAATAAAGGGCGCCACCAACTTACTTCAGGCGAGTTTAAGTTGGAAAACTCCCTAGATATCAATAGGTTCCGTTTTCTACACCATTAACACACACGTCGCAATTATCAATCAATTGACGTTCTATTCAATTAAATAGGACTACGAATATTTCACCCAGTATAAGGAAAAATCATATGTCAAGAAAATATATCATGGTTTACCCTGAATATTCCACTATTTTATTGCCAACTCCAGATCATTTCCGAAACAGGAACATGTTCAATATTTGAATTACATGAGATTGTTCACATGCATAAGTATATCGGATAACCCCCCTGTGTGTACACTCAGAGTTCACAGTTATTTGGTATTTCTTTTTGAAGTAAGGTAAGTATGATAAATGATTGAGAATTAAGCTCAAACAGGAATGATGATCCTTCCGGGTTGACTCAGTGGAACTTCAACAAAAATTAACCCCATGAATAAAAAAACATGCATCTTATCTGCGATAGGTCTTCCTTTGGAGGAGGGGCCTTAACCATGCATTTCCTCTCCTGGTAAGCAAAAGCAAGCAGTAAACTAATGTAAGCAGCAAGCCAAAATTCAAATAAGCAGCAACAGGTAGCGTGGTTCATGCAATAACTGACCGCTAGGTATGCAATATGGAGGTACTTCACACTGATCCAGTTGTATTATAGTACATGGAGTAAAAAGTAATTGGAAGCATAGATGCACCATACAATGGACTCAATCGGCCCATAGGACAACCCTAAAATCAATTTATATTGTAATTTTCGCTGAAAAGCTTACCGGAGTTTTCCATTATTCACCTCATGTGATCTTCGAGGGTACGAGTTTGGAAAAGGTTCGAGTACCTACTCGTAAAATGGCTGATAACTCGATCACGCTTTTGGTCGGCAGTGATAAATCCTTCTAGCGAAGAGCAATTTGCCAAATCCAAATATCACTACAGTGAAACGAAACACTATGGCAAAATTGATATTGGAGACAAAGTGAAAAATCCAACAATATGATGAAATGAAAATCCACAAAAATCAACTTTGTCTCACACTGTCCGACATTAGCGAGAAAAATCATCAACCTTCTTTCTCAGAATCGTAAATTTTCGCGTGATAAAAGATAGAGAATAGTGTCCTCTTCTATTCAGTAACAATCATTTCCAAAACCTATTTTGAAAAACTTAATAACAAACTTTCCTGACCAATGAGCATGAAAATATTTCCGAAAGATGCCGAATTACCCGTAAGTACACGAATACTTTTGACGATGACTTCTATGTCTGAAAGATAAAAATAACCAAACTGATGACAGCGAGCTACAGGTGATTTTCGTGCGTTTCGTGAGTTGCTATATCTTTATAGGCGCTGACGCAGGAAAGAACATGGCTGATACCAGCTGATCGACTATAGCTGTAAAGTTGCTGCATGACATGGAACGGATGAATAAGACAGAGATGAATAGCTGCTACCAGCTACCGCAAGGCTATGACTGAGATGTTATGACTTATGGTTAATTATTTCGTAAACAAACTAAATAAACATTTGATACAACAAAATTGAATCATAGATGATGGAAATCGAGATGGAAATCAGGTAAAATGTTCTTGATATTATATTAATTTCCATATTTTATTCATAGTCGTCAAATTATAATCAGATCAAACATAAATTGTACAGCGATTCTAATATGTATCTTGTTTATTCTAGGATCCACCGAGAGATCAACCCCCCTACGCAACGGAAACCACTGCCGCCTACCCCAAAGGAAATCTGGAAGTTCAGCCCAAGAACAAACCATGGAAATATACAGTTGAACAATGTTGAGTGGCATGACTGTCATTATGTTTGAAATAAAAATAACAAGTGCTTCTTTATCCTACCAGTGTATAGCACAGTGAATTTTGAGGATGGTTCATAAAGGGTCATATCGCAGGTTATTGTTCTCATTAATTGACGACTTGTGCAATGAGTTATAGGGTTAATCATTAAAACTATTGAAACTACCTAAAATATTAAATTTAAACGTTACAACGCTTATGTTAGTTTTTAAGTATTGTTAAAATACAATACTTAAAAACTAACATGAGCGTTGTTTTCTTCAAACAGATTTTCTTCTTCTTATGAATTTGCTGATGATGAAGGATTAATCCTTCGAATCATGTCCTTTTGTCCATGACCGTTGTTCATTATTAAATTGTTTATGAGGTGGATTTGTGACTGTTTCACATGCAGCTGGGCAAAGGGATTCTTGTTCACTTTTTGAAATGCATGAAAGGGAATCCCTATTATGTTCGAGGAACATTGTGCGTACCTAGGGAGGATAGGGAGAGAAGGTAGTTATTGGATTTTTGTAACTTTTGGAGGCCATAAGATAAATCTGTGAAAGGAGTTGGAACTACTTTTATGATCCATTGCTAAATCGCCATGATAAGCCATGAACGTTTTTTTATTTGATAAACCTTACTACCCATGTTATGTCTTACCGTTTGAACATGTCCAACATTCGTTTTGTTACTTGAAATCCTCCGAAAACGTTTATGAAGGAGACGAATGCGGCTGTTGCAGCCAGAGCCTATGAAGAATAAAAATTGTTAGATCAATGACAAACATCCAGCCCTGAATACTCCAAGGAACTACATTGCGATATTTAGGGTGTATTTTTTTGTGATTGTGATTTCATTTCGTGTAGTATAGTGTAGTGCTTGTTCAATCGAGTGTTTTTGAAGACCGAAACCGGACGTACCGTAACAATACAAAATTTCAAGTTCAACTAAGATACTGCATATAATCCAATATACTCAGCTTTACCTGAACATCAGAAAACTCTCGGGACGAATATAATCAGAGCTTTCAAGTGGGTTCAAATTCTGTTTATGGCGTTTTTTGTTCATTACAAGTGATTTGATGATGTACTTAACAGTGAATCAAAACTATTTTGTCTACATTCTGGCAATTGTCTGGCTAAGAAATAATGCTTCTGTCTCTTCAACACCACTTGCTGGGTCTATTTTAGTGAAAAAATGTAGTGCATTATTTCAAAGTATTGTTACAATATTCGGATGCAGAAGCGAACACGACACTATTCATTTTTGAACTGATTCATTTTAACTAAAGGAATACTGATTTATATCGAACTCATAACTACTATTTATGTAAAACGATTTATATCACGCGGTATATGACTGTCTCTCTGACATTCACTGCTTGACTGACTGACGGCAGTTGTCCGGTCGTCCTTATGTATGAGATCCCTTGGTAGGTTTTGCTTCTCGAACGTTCTCGAATGATCTTCCGTACCCTTCTTTTGTTCTAGAAGCTTCTTAGAGCAATACCTCTCTCTCTAATTGTTCCATTGATTGTTTCCAGAACATTCCAGAATCTTCTGTCACGTTATTTGTGACCGCGACATGTATTGAGTGTCCGGAATTAGGCTGGTACATGTTAGGGTCCCTTGATGGAAATTGACGTTAAAGTCATCTTGACGTCCTCGCAGGGACAACATATTGAAAGTACCGACTGGGACGTCCGTAGGACGTTATTTCTAGGAATTGGAAAAGAACAGTTCATGTACCAATTGGGACATCCGACGGATATCCCTAAGGGACATTTCGATTGTTATAAGATCCTGGAAATATTGAAGGCGTCTGTGCAGAGATATTTGAAGGAATGTACCATCAGGGACATTTCATGGTTGTCTAGAAGGGACATTATATAAGATCTGAAGTCATGCCAGAATATGTACTGCTAGGGACATCCGATAGATGTCCCTAAAGGAACGTTTGAAAGCAATCAGAAATCAGAATTCATTCAGTCAACCCTGGGATACAGTCTAAGAACAGTCTCTTTTGGTGAAATATATAAAGCTTTTAGTACAAATTATGCTGGAGTACTAAACTCTAAAACTAGAGGATAGTTCAACTATATCTTGGTATAGTTGAATCAGGAATTCCATATGGAAAATACGTATGATACGCCAATATAACCTAAAAAAACAACAAATGTCAAAAATCTACTGTTTATCCCCAGAATTGAATGAGGATGGAACTATATGACTGTTTCACAAACACTTTAGAGTGAGAGGAGACGAGGATCTGTCCGTACCCTGTTAAGATGACTTTAACGTCAATTTCCATCATGGGACTCTAGTACATGTATGAATCATTGGGATGTTGGAGAACAATTTGGGATATGCGTGTTACAGGATGATCGTTGTACTCTTGCCTTCCTGAAGATGTTTCTAGAGCCCCTCTAAGGGGAATACCAAACTATTTAGTTCACTGTCACAACCCGTTTTCACCTCAGAGCTATCTCCATTTTTTTAAATAATCATCGTATCACGTCATGAAAAACTATCGTGTTTGAATAGTGTCAAATTTGATTATTGAAAAAAGTATATTTGTGACGATTTCGAATAACGAATGATTATTGTATGGAATACTATTTATCCATGGTGAGATCAATATAAACTAGGTATATGGTTTAAATTCGACTAGTGTATACATCCCCATTGTAGCTAAATAAATTATCTATGAAAATCATATAGGTCATTCTGTGGTTCCTGATATTGGTCTATTGATTTCGGAAAAATATATTTTCAAATTCATTGTTGAAATTAACTATGAAAAAATGGTTATTTTTGAAAAACACGAACCCTTATGGGCTACTGAACTGATGGGGAATAATTGGCATTCAATCACTCCACTTTGTTGTTAGGGACCTAAATTAATTTTTGCAATACTTCTCACGCGTTTTTTATGTAAATAATGTGTCTATATGTTGTTCGAAATTGTTGAATTTCAGAGCGCATCTCAAACGTGCTGTCATGGCCGCCATTTGACCATGTTATTCGATAAATCGGATACATGATGTCAGTTGTAATGTTGTTTCCTTATTGGTCAGATATTCTTCCATTCCCACTCATGAAGCTAGGTTCTCAAGTCACCATTTATAAAACAAGGTAATAAAAAGTTGTTAGAGTCCTGTAGTTGAATAAAACTACATCCAAATCAAATATTCCACTGGACCTGATAGGAGGAAGCCATAATATTATAGTAATTCATTTGAGTTTTTCGAGCAACCAGATTATCAAAATATGTCTTACACTCCATAACAAAACGTCTTGTGAATGTTAGCAGCATGTGCTCAATGAGAACTGACAAGGCAGCTGTTACGTCGTCACATACTGTATATGATATTCGTTAGGTCATACTCTGTATATGTCGAGACGACAAGGGCTGACAGGGACTTCAATTAATAAAAAAAAGTCGGAAAAGTCATCAGACTATCTTTTATACAAAAACGCTATACCAGACGACCAGACGACTCTACATTGGTCCTTCGAGATTCTGAACAGTCCTGTGGAAGACATGGATGGACAATCCGACCCAGGAAGAATTCGCAGACAAGCAGCTGGAACGAGAAACCTGAACAATGACTTTGTGTGGCCACCAGGTTTCGGTACAGCAGGTGATGTCACAGACAATTCCATAGTAACCTCTAATAAGGAGTCTAAGGCAAGTAGCGAATTACATAGAATAAGACTAGAGCTTGAACACGAGAAAGCAAAGCAAGCTATAGAAAACGAAATGATGAAGAAACAATTGAAAATATTAGAAATGGAACACCAGTTGAAAGAAGCCGAGCTATTAGAGAACGAAGATAAAAGAACGAGAAGCAACAGATCTAATAGGAGTAATTATCCAATTGCTAATATCCAACATAATGCTACAGCCAATCTTCCTTCATCTCGTTCATCCGTGAAATCAAACGTTCAGAAATGGGTGAACTCCATTGAGCAAATCCAAGAACCTGAAGAGGACATGGAACAAGTAATCCAAAAACCACATCTGAAATCTGATATCGGACAACTTTGTGATACTCTGAATGATGTTTTAAAGAGAGTTGCGACCACAAGTTCCACAATTCCAACGCCAAGACCAGAGAAATTTCTGACCAGAAACACCATAGAGAAAGACTTTCCCTTCTTCGACGGTAGACCTGAAGAGTGGCCGACATTCATTTATCAGTTTAGAAGAATCTCTACCCTTTGTGAGTATTCAAATGAAGAATCGATGATAAAACTTCACAAGTGCTTGAGAGGTGAGGCAAGACGCTCAGTAGAGAGTATGTTAATGTGTCCAGAAAATTTGAACCAAGTAATCAGGTCTTTGGAAATGAAATTCGGACGCCCTGATCAAATTATTGACACCCTTCTCGAAAAGACCAGAAATACTGCACTAGTTCGGGAATATGACATGGAAGGACTGATTAATATCTCCAACCACGTGAACGGTCTCGTCTCCACTATCAAATCTTTGAGATATAACGCTCACTTGCAGAATCCACAACTTTTGAGAGACCTAGTGCATAAATTGCCAAACACCTTGAAACTTCGCTGGGGCGAGGAAATTTGCAAAAAAGGATTCATGAACCTGGAAGATTTTTCTAAATGGTTATCCTGCATAGCAGACGCAGCTTGTTTTGTCACTTCACCCATGAAAAATCAACACAACTCATCATTCACACCGAAAAATACATATAGACATAATCAAACGACAAATCGGAGATATGAAAAATCTTTGGTATTGACTTCTACCAAAGATGAAGAAATCTGCCAGTACTGTACGAAAATAGGTCACAAGATCTTGGAATGTGAAAATTTCAAGTCCGATGACATCGAGAAGAGGTGGGAAATTGTTACCAAAAATAAACTATGTTTTTCATGCCTGAAAAACAACCACCAGACATCCAAATGCCGACTAAGAAAACCCTGTGGAGTTAATAACTGCAGAAGACCACATCATAAACTTCTACACAAAGACGAAATCCAGACAACTTCATCGAACAGAAGACAGGATCCAGAAATTCCATCAACCAGTAGGAACGAAAATGTTCTTGCGACGGGACACGGAGCAAATAATATTTTATTGAGAATGGTAAACGTCACCCTGTATGGTACTAACGGTTGTTCGGTCCAGACTGTAGCTATTTGCGACGAGGCATCAACTGTGACACTGGTTGATGAATCGATAGCTCGACAGCTTCAAATCAAAGGAACCAAGCATAGACTAAGTGTTCAGTGGACTAATGATATTGTCTCAAGCCATGAAGACTCGGAATGTTTTGACATAGACATTTCTGGGGACTACGACGGAGCTAAAATCTACAGAATGAAAAATGTCCATACAGTGAGAGATTTGTCGCTGCCAAAACAAGAGATATGTTTTGATGACTGGAAACATTATCATCATTTGAATGGTCTTCCTATCGCCGACATCAATAATCCACCTATGATTCTCATTGGGCAGGACAACATCAACCTCACTGTCCCGAGAAAAATAGCCCAAGGTACTGAAGATCTTCCAATTGCCACGAAAACAAACCTAGGGTGGATACTTCATGGAAGAACAGAAACCGACATTCATAACAGAACCCATGTATTGCATATTTGCGAAAACGACACATCAGACAATGCTCTTCATCAACTAGTGAAACACTCATTCACAGTTGACGCCTTCGGAGTATCTGATACTGCAAAATGCAATAAAGAGAAGACTTCCGAAGCAGCTCTACTGATAATGGAATAAACTGCCAAACGAATCAGTGACAATCGATACGAAATCGGACTTTTATGGAAATCAACCGACATCTCCTTGCCTAGCAATAAATCGACGGCATTGAGAAGACTTCAACATGTTGAAAATCAGATGACAAAGGACGACCATTTCAAACAGAAATATCACGAAAATATTCAAAAGTACCTCGAGAAAGGATATATTCGAAAATTGACACATGATGAAGCCACAAGACAAGACTCAAGAACATGGTTTTTACCTCACTTTGGAGTCATCAACTCGAATAAGCCTGATAAACTACGCCTAGTCTTCGATGCTGCATCAAAATCAGGTGGTACAAGCCTAAATGACAATCTATTCTCAGGTCCAGATTTATTAGAACCCCTATTATCAGTTTTATTGAGATTTAGGCAGAGACGAGTTGCATTCACCAGTGATGTAAGAGAAATGTTTCATCAAGTGAGGATAAGACATGAAGATCAAAGCTCTCAGAGTTTTCTGTGGAGAGATGAACCCAGTAAACCACCAGATATCTACCGAATGCAGGTCATGACGTTTGGGGCCACCTGCTCGCCTGCATGTGCCCAGTTCGTCAAAAACCTAAACGGTAGAGAAATGGGAAACGAAGAACGAATAATTTACGCAATCACGAAAAATCACTATGTAGATGACTATTTGGACTCAGCAGACAATCCCTATGAAGCCTTCGAAATAATTTCGAAAGTTTATGAAACTATGAAGAAAGGTGGGTTTGAACTCGTTAACTGGTCTACAAACTCCAAAGAACTGACTAAAATGATGACATTTGAGGATAGTATCAGTAAAGACTTGATACTAGACTGCGACAAATCAGTACATCGAGTACTAGGAATGTACTGGGATTCTTCGGAAGATACCTTCGTCTTCAGAATAAAAAATGTGCCTTTGGAAGACCCTAGTATACGTCCTACAAAAAGACATCTTTTGAAAATAGTGATGGCAGTTTTTGATCCGCTAGGCCTCTTGATAAACTTCACAATAAGAGGAAGAATGTTGATTCAAGACGTCTGGAGGACTGGAATCGGCTGGGACGACTCCATCGACGAAGAAACGCACAAGAAGTGGACGGCATGGCTTTCAGATCTTAAGAAAATCAACAATATCACCGTCTCACGATGCTATTCCAGAAATATTCCGAAAGCGAACAGAATTGATCTTCACATATTCTGTGATGCCAGTAAACAAAGCTTTGCAGCCGTAGCTTACTTGCGAGTTGTGTCCGACGACAACATTGACGTGGTCTTAGTTTCTGGAAAAGCACGGGTAGCACCAACTAAACCTATCTCGATTCCCCGACTAGAATTGCAAGCAGCCCTATTAGGTAGTCGACTAGGGAGAACGATCAAAATTGAATTGAATGTGAAAATAGACAAGATTTTTTACTGGTCTGATTCGACGACAGTTCTGTATTGGATCAATGGAGATTTCAAACGATTAGGACAATTTGAAGCTCATCGGATTGGCGAAATACTAGAACTGACCGATACTTCTGACTGGCAATGGGTTCCATCGAAAATGAATGGAGCAGACGTCGTAACCCGGAGCTACAATGAAGATGGGAGCAATACGGTGACTTTTCATGACTGGTTCTCTGGACCCAAGTTCCTATCAACAAGAGATGAATCAACATGGCCAAGGAAAGATATATTAGGAAATACGATCTGCAACGACAAAGAAATTATCATGTTATCGACAACAAAATTTGAGAGAAATACTATTTTGCCAAACATAGACAGATTTTCGGACTTCAAAAAACTTCTACGAGTTACAGCGTGGACAATCAAAATTGCGAAAATATGGTTAGGGAAAATTCGTCAAGCTTCATGCAACAGGGAAATTACAGCAGAAGATTTTAAATACGCTGAATTATTATGGCTTCAAGAGTGTCAAAAAGAAAGTTTTCCAGAAGAATATGAAATTCTCATGAATAATAAACAATTGCCCAAACAAAGCCGACTGAAAAATCTTTCTCCAACGATGAGTCCACAAGGAACCATAATAATGATGGGAAGAACCGACTTAGCCACTTCTATCAGTGATACAGCAAAACGACCAGCAATCTTACCTAACAAACACAGGTATACGTACTTATTTCTCAAAAGCATTCATGAGAAATATGCTCATCAGGGAGTAGAACTGGTATTTAACGAAGCAAGACAGAAATATTGGATCATACATGGCAGGGCAGCTGTTAAATTTACTTTTTCGAAATGCCAACGATGTCGATTAGAAAAATCAAAACCTCTAGTACCTCTTATGGGACAACTTCCGATTGCCAGACTAACACCGAACGTGAGACCTTTTACCTACACAGGTATAGACTATTTTGGACCATTTCTAGTTACAGTAGGCAGAGGCAAAGCGAAAAGATGGGGTGTTATTTTTACATGTTTAACGACCAGGGCGATTCACCTAGAAGTAGCTCATACACTTACAGCAGATTCAGCCATTATGGCCCTGAAGAGAATGATCGCCAGAAGAGGACAGCCACAGCAAATTCTATCAGACAACGGAACTAACCTACGAGGAGCATCTGAAGAGTTGAGAAAAGCAATCAAGGAGCTAGACAGAAAGAAGATAAACAGTGACATGACAAACAGAGGAATAGACTGGAAATTTATACCTCCAGGGAGTCCACACATGGGTGGGGCCTGGGAGAGGTTAATAAGAAACGTAAAAACATCTTTCAACGCTATTTTGAGAAATCAACAACTAAAAGATGAACTATTATTGACAATTTTTGCCGAAGTCGAATTCATGGTCAATTCAAGACCTCTGACAAAAGTATCATCCGATCCCAATGATTTTGAGGCTCTGACGCCGAATCATTTTTTAATTGGAACTTCTAATGGTACTCGAGATTTGGATGATATAGATGGCCAGCATGATCTCAGAAAACAATGGCGAAGAGGTCAACAAATAACCATCGATTACTGGAGGAGGTGGATGAAAGAATATATACCGAGTCTTACAAAAAGAAGTCGATGGACGGACGATAACCAACCAATAAAAGTCAATGACATTGTAGTTATTCTGAACGAGACGCTCCAAAAGAGAAACGATTGGACTTTAGGCAGAGTTGAGAAACTGTTTCCAGGTGCAGATGGAAGAATAAGAGTGGTTGAAGTGAGGACGAAAAATGGCGTATTCAAACGACCAGTTACCAAACTGGGGAGAATACCTATGGAAGATTGACTTGATTTTATTATTGTGAATTTGATTATCAATTATCATTGTATTTCATTGCTTTCTGTTAAATGAGGGATTATGTTATTTGGGGGGAAGAATGTTACGTCGTCACATACTGTATATGATATTCGTTAGGTCATACTCTGTATATGTCGAGACGACAAGGGCTGACAGGGACTTCAATTAATAAAAAAAAGTCGGAAAAGTCATCAGACTATCTTTTATACAAAAACGCTATACCAGACGACCAGACGACTCTACAGCAGCGCCCACAATCCTATAGCTGTGTTGTCAGGTTTACCAAGCCAAATGTCCTCTAGTGTGTGAGTTAATATAATTCATTATAAGCAATAAGCCACAACACATAAAAGGAACATTTTTGAGAAAATGATTTTTTATAGCTAATTAAGAATATTAAAAATACTAAATAGTAATAGTATATTATGTAACAAGTGTTATGAACGTCCTTTTAGTAACGAGTAGTTTGAGCACGCGCGGAGCAGAGCGTAACGAGTGTTTAATAAACGAGTGTCTAGAAGAGTTTATAAACGCGTTACATACTATGATTTTTCTACGAACTCCGAAAATTACATTAACATGCCTGCAATTTCTGCTAACCTACAAAATAATTCGAAAGGAATGGGAATTGAGAACATAATATATGCAACTGCATGCAACCAGCGAGACACGTATAAGTGATATTGGTTGTAGATGTGTCCAGTTCATAGCTTACTAACCTTTGTTTCACGTTTATTGTCATGCTTAGCGTAGAATGAATAAATTGTTCTCAAAGATGAATGCTTCATTTTTACACTTCTTGGAAATATGCAAGTACCAGAACATTCTCTTCGATTTTACTTTCGTCCACTTTTCGCATATATTTTTAATGAAGAATTCTGATACAAACGAATATTGTTTGAATAATTCTGATACAAAATTCGAAAATAACAGTTGACAGTTAACACAACTGACAGGCCAGACATGTCTCAAACTACTGAAGCTGTGTTTAATGAACTGCGTTGCCATGGTAATGTGTTTAAGAAATTAATATTTATAAAGTTCCCAATCGAATTTCAACATATGGCAACTGCGCTACTGTCTGCCCCTACTCAAGAAATTGTGACATCAGTTGTGATTTGCGGTAAATTTCTATCCGTTTGAAAATTTTCACGGCATTATTGATGATTTTCGGACCTTCACATCGACCGAAAAATTCTAAAATAATATGGAATTGAATGGTAGTTTCGATATTCGCCGTTCTGATGCTACAATCTCAATCGTTCCAGTCGCCTATAGTTACTTCTCACCTCTACAGAATTCGTGGGATAATAGCCACCATTCATCAGCAACAAACCTCCCACAGCCGTGATGCCAGAAATTGCATTCGTGACAGACATCAGAGGAGAATGGAGAGCCGGAGTGACTCCCCAAACTGTATGGTATCCAACAATTCCGGACAGACCGAGCACGGTCAACATCGACGTGAATTCTGGATTTGGAGAACACATTCCTAGGCCCATAATCGAACCAATTCCTGAAACACATTATTTGTGTTTCTCGTTCGTATAAATTATTATAGGTAACACTCTCACAAACTGGTATTTCGAAAATAGGAAGACTATTATTTATGTTATTCAACTTATGTCAGCGTCGAATACAAATAACTGTTACCAAATTAGTTCACATGTTGTTATAATTTAAACAATCCAGATATGCTCCAAAACTTAGAAAGAATGGGACTCAGAGGCACTGTGAGAAATATTTCGAATTCATATCTTGAAAATAGGACAATCAATATAAAATCAACCAACTCTGTGTCAAATGAACTATTAATCAATTAGGGTGTCCCACAAGGCTCTGTTTTAGGACCTATACTATATTTACTTTATGTTCAAAATATCAGTGAAATTGCTCTAGTGAGTAAATATACCATGTATGCAGATGATACAGTACTTTTATATGAAAGCAAGAATCCTTCAAATTTAGAAAATATGATAAATGAAGACTTGAAAATATTTGAAAAATGGCTCCACTCTAACCTGTTATCGATAAATACTAACAAAATAGAATATATGGTTTTTCACATAAACAAAAAATTTACCTCAACCTTAAAATAAAAAATGAACTCTTAAAACAAACTGACCAGATAAAATATCTTGGTGTTTGGTTTGATGACAGGTTGAAGTGGGACAAACATATCGATGTTCTGACAAAAAAAATATCTCCAATTATTGGTGCATTGAGAAGATGTTCCAAACTTGATATCAAAATTGCAAACATGATTTTCTCTACTCTCATGTACTGAGTCGTATCAACTATTTAATAAATGTTTGGGGATCTTGTTCAAAAAATAATTTCAATAAAATATCAACATTATATAGAAAATCGTTGAAAGTATTGTATCGTCTCCCATTTGATACACCAACCAATCAATTGTATGAAATAACAAATACGTATTCTTTAGATGAAATATATAGAATTGAAACTCTCAAAATATCATATCAATCAATCAACTTTATTATTCCCAAGAAACAACATTTGTTCATAGCAGGGAACATAGTGAATACATACATATATTTGACAAAATGAAATAAAGAAGACAGTAAAATAAGACTCACACTCAAAAAGAATCTTTTTTTTTTCATAAATAAAAAATTGAAGTCGAATATTATTTTGATACCGAATTCTGAAATTCATAAACTAGACAATATAACTTGTTTCATCTTGACGCCGCTAGCTCCATGATCGGAAAAAAAAGATTCACTCTATCAGCCTTAACTGAATTTAATAAACTACCTGGCGAACTGGATGAAATTAATCATGCATTTTTTTTTACAAATATTATTCTTTGTTTGCCAATTTACAGTTGTTGATATATTTTGAATGATGATATGTTTACCTATAGGTATATAATTGATTATGTACTTCCTTATACCAGAGCCTGTTCTGTCTGGAAATTATTTTTTCAATAAATAAATGAATAAAATAAAGTAGCAGACTGACAGCTAACATGACTAATAGTCAACCATTGTTAAGGCACCTACTATTTATCAGTTGCATATCAATCTCTAGCGGGCTAACACCGAATTATGGTCACCGTGCTTTTCAAAAGAGCTGATTTGATTGGCAGAAGAATTATCTCAGAGGTAACCTCTAATAACTATCACCGACATACCTACTATACTTCGTTCATATTATTATTTATACAGTGAGGACGTAAAAGTCCTCTCTCCCTTTCACTTTGGAAAGAAACAAGATAGCGAGGTCGTCGGGTAAAGTTCAGTTAAAAAGGTACATGTTTTTCTACTTTTTTGCCTAAATTTGGTTGTGGTCACGTAGCCTAGTATCAAGAGGGTACCATCAACATTTTTTTCTCGAATATATGGTACCTGGTTTTGAAGGCCTCGTTTTTGTAAATCGGCCAAGCCGTTTCAAACTGACAAGCGTTTGAAATTTGCATCAAATATTTTTCGAACAAATAAAAAACAAAAATATCTTCAAATTGAAACAAAACTTCAAGTAACAATTGTAACAAGTGCTCGAAAATGATCGAAATGTGCCCCGTTCACTTATTGCAAAAAAAAAAGTTTTTGAATTTATTCCGAACGTTATTAAATGTTTCCCAGGTAAACTTCAAACGCTTGTCAGTTTGAAACGGCTTGGCCGATTTTCATGCACAAGAGAAGCGGTGTTGGATAGAGAATTGAAAAGGCTTCAAAAACAGATACCGCGCGAAATACGTTCACGTTTGAAAAAAAAGTTGATGGTATCCTCTTGACACTAGGCCGCGCGACCACAACCATTTTCATGCCAAAAAGTAGTATAAGATGTACCTTTTTATTTTTACGTCCTCACTATTTGAAAGTCAATCAATCATTGCTCCGTTGGAATATTTTCCGCTACGAGCAATGAGTTCAAATAATTTCAACACAATTTGATTTCAATCAAATGTCCCGAAGAATAGGAGGACGATCTAGTCCAAAGAGCCATCTAGTGGCGGAAGTGCAAAGGTGTGTACGTATATTGTTTAAAGAACGATTGATTCTCTTAGTCTTGAGATTTTAGGTTCCTCACCATCTGTCGGTGGGGTGAGAATTCCGGTGTTGCGATAGTCTGGCGAATGAGCGTATAGCAACCGCAATTCTAACGGCCTATCAGGACAACTGCCCACTAAAGGAGAAGAAAGACCACAGAGGTACACCCTGGTGGAGCAAGAGCCTGGACAAAAAAAGGCAAGAAGTTCGACGTCTCTTCAATCGAGCTAAAGATGCAGGGTGCTGGGACACTTACCGCACATCTCTAACGGCTTATAACAAAGAAATAAGGAAAGCCAAAAGAGACTCTTGGAGGAGATTCTGTCAGAGTATATCAGATGTACCTGCCAGCATGAGAATTCACAAGGCTCTCGCCAGAGATCCGACCCAAGAGATCGGCTCGATAAAACGACCGGATGGCTCTTTTACGGACTCTGGTAGGCAAACGTTAGAGGTTCTTCTACAGACTCACTTTCCCGGCAGCCTGCTCCTGGAGGACCGTCAGCAGATTCCACTTCCAATGGGATCGATAATACGACCAAAAAAGGAGGACTGGAAGAATGCCTCAATGGTGGTCACCCCAGAGTCAGTGGAATGGGCGGTGAATTGTTTCTCCCCATTCAAGTCTCCGGGAGAGGACGGAGTTTTCCCTGCCCTCTTACAAAAGGGCAGAGAAGTTTTACTACCTCTCCTGGTTAAATTATATAGAGCGAGTTTGGCGTGGAGCTACATTCCGTTAGGCTGGTCAACAGCGAGGGTTGTGTATATACACAAATCGGGTACGGCGAATCATTCCCTACCCAAATCCTTCCGACCGATCAGCCTTACCTCGTTCCTATTAAAAACTCTAGAAAGAATTCTAGACAGGCATATTAGAGAGGGGAATCTAAGGGAGCATCCCCTAAATCCCCATCAATATGCCTACCAAACAGGCAAATCAACGGATTTAGCACTGAACAATCTTGTAGGAAAGATCAGCCATTCCTTAGATCATAAGGAAATTGCGCTGGCAGCCTTCCTAGACATAGAAGGAGCGTTCAATAACGCAGCAGATGTCTGTGAACCCCCGGAAAACTGTAATTATCCCTTTTACCAAAAGGCAAAAGCTAGATAAGCTTCGTCAGCCTGTCCTATATGGAGAGAGCATTCCGTTTGCGACGGAGGTGAAATATCTAGGGGTCACCCTAGATAAAAGACTCACCTGGAACGCCCATATGGCAAAAACTATTAACAAAGCCAGATTTTCCCTCTGGAACCTCAGAAGGGTATGCGGCAAATCATGGGGAATGAACCCCAAACAGATTTACTGGATTTACCAAACAATGGTAAAACCAATGGTCACGTATGGCTCGGTAGTCTGGTGGACCAAAGGTCTGCAGGGAACAGCCAGGGCAAAGCTTGCTGGTCTCCAGCGGCTGGCGTGCCTGGCCATTACAGGGGCGATGTCCTCTACTCCAACGGCAGCGATGGCAAACCTCCTGAACCTCACTCCCCTCCACATTGTCTTGGAGAGGGAAGCCAGGATGGTTTCCTACAGATTCCTGTCATTGGAAAATCAAATCAGAGGGGGGCGACTGCTGGACCACTCCGGGATACTGTGTGAAACAAAAAATCACCAAACTCTAGGAATGGTTTCCGACATGTTGGCCATTCAGACACACGTGAAAAAGTCTTTCAAAGTCCTCTTCCCGAAGAGAGACGAATGGGCAAGCGGATCAGTCCGATTCCCAGAGACCGAACACGTAATGTACACAGATGGTTCGAAAACCCCTCGTGGAGTGGGAGCCGGTGTGTTCAGCAGAAAACCGAAGACGGAAATTTCCGTCAATCTCGGCAAATATGCTACAATCTTTCAGGCGGAGGTATTCGCAATTGAATTGTGTGCTAGAGAGTTGTCGAATAAACCTCTAGTAAACAAAAATATCAGTATTGTATCAGATAGTCAGGCTGCTCTTAAAGCACTGAGCTCCAGCAAGATAAATTCCAAGCTTGTATGGAGCTGCATTGAATCCCTAGAAAGCCTGGGTGCTAACAACAGAGTCACTTTGCTGTGGGTGCCTGGACACCAGGGGGTGGAGGGTAACGAGAAAGCCGACATCCTCGCCAAACAGGGAACCGAATCTGTGTTCATAGGACCAGAACCATATTTTGGGGTCACCGCAAGTGCGGCGAAAACAACTATCTCGGGCTGGGCGGAGGGAAAAACACTCACGTACTGGTCCGAATTACCAGGATTAACCCATTCGAAGGCGTTCCTGCCTAAACCATCGGAAAAAATAACCAGGCAGATCCTAGAATGGAGCAGGGGTAACCTGCGAATCCTGACTGGACTACTTACGGGACACAGTCGTCTAAGATACCACCTGGGAAGGATGGGTCTGAACCAACAAACGGACTGTCGGTTCTGTTGTGTGGAAGACGAAACGGCTGAACACATATTATGCTCATGCTCTAGCTTAGAAAGACTAAGGTTCGACACATTTGGTTTTACCAACCTAGAACCTATCGATTTCAGACAAATCTCACCCAATTCAACCATGAACTTTGTAAAAAGATGTGGATTGTACGGTGAACTGTAACCTCTAGGGGTGAGCCACAATAGACCCATCTGGGGTCGCAGTGGAGGGGAGGTGTTCGCCCCACTCACATGGAACCTAACCTAACCTAGTCTGCAGAATTGTGGCATTTTAGCCTTTCTGTAGTAATATGAACGGCGGGGTCTATATTCGACCTAGTCGCAAGGTATGGTTGTTTAAACAATCTACTTTTCACCTTTGCACTTCTGCCACTAGATGTCTCTTAGGACTAGATCGTCCTCCTACCCTTCGGGGCATTTGATTAACTTCTTATATAGTAGGCTTGGCTTGGCAAAGCTGAAACAGACTGTCTTGCACCAGCTGACAGTCAATTTATGGAATTTCCCCAAAATCTCTTAGTCTTGAGATTTTAGCTTCCTCACCATCTGTCGGTGGGACATTAAACCACTGTGAGAATTCCGATGTTGCGATAGTCTGCAGAATTGTGGCATTTCTTTGCCCTTCTGTGATAATATAGACGTAGGGGTCTATATTCGACGTACTCGCAAGGTATGGTTTAGATTCCTCACAATTTGATTTGTCTACATTATGAGGAGAGAACTTCAAACTGACCAAGACAATTGAAAAAGATATAGATATCGAAATAGGAGTTATAAATCGTATACATCTGTCCCTTGGTTTCAAAAATGTAGAATTGTCTTAATATTCAATTTTGTACAAAAATATTTGCAACTTACCGGTTGTAACCATTAGAGATTTCTGTAGGTCAGCCTTGAATGGGGTAATCTCTTTTTTCGCTTCTTTTGCAACTTCAACAGCTTTTTGTGGAGATGTGGATACAGATGTTGCAGCTACCTTAGGGAGTGGAGGAGGCCACATAAGATTACCGTTCTCTAAAATCATGCTACCCCGTACGACCTCGTCTTCCAAATTGATGTGGAAGTGGTCCTTTTCGCCTAAATTATCCAAGAATTAATTATTTCAAATAATAATTAGCAAACTGCTAATTTATTGTCAATAATCATTATTCATGGATGTACCGATTGATTATGTGTTGAATAAAAAACATTTGTTTAAAAGAACCATAATCGAACTATATTTGCCGGAATCACTATTTTCAACTCTAGACAGATCAATATTTTGATTCACTTTCCTTCAATAGTGTCACTTTGTTATTACTTATTAGTCATTGTGGTGCTTTTCGCGTTTGGTGTGTCATGTATTGAAGTGGTTGAAAATAGTTTATTTGGGCTTCAGATTTAACAGAAAACATAAAAATAGTGATGGCTAGCGTAAGAGAGATAGTATTCTTGATAGAAGTCAGTTTTGTCTATTTAGTACCCAGTCGGAAAAATTGGATGAAATATTCATTTGATATGGACAAAATCAAATCCACTCTAATTTAACAGTGTGCCGTTAAGTAGCGACACATTGCGATGAGGTTAGAAGCTACTGAATAGGCCTGTTATATGCACCAAACCAAAACAACTTTCATAAATAACTGTTTTTCATCCTTACCAATTGATAATAAAAATTTCGAGATATTATTGGCATACAATGTCGAACTTTGCGTAGGCAGCATGCTGGGAAAATCTGTCAAGCCCACGTGCACAACATCATTGTAGGTGTAAATTTTGCCGGGTTCGGTTGTTTCAATATTGCCGCCAGCCTCTGCAGCCAAATCGACGATCACGCTGCCAGGTTTCATGGATTCGATGTGTTCCTGCAATGACATCATGAATCGAATGGATAATGGTTGTAGAGACATTGGAGAAAAAATTCAACACCCCGCATCTCTGAAATGAGGCGGTTGCTCATCTTTGTCCATACACTTCCTGAATAGTTAAGTCCCGAATGAACAGAAATATGGCATAATGAAAACAAAACTACAATTTAGGTCCTCTGAGCTCAATTTATGATTTTCTCATAAGTCCGTTGACGCTATATATGTATAAACTGTCTTATGTAAAATCTTCACAAACAATGAGATTTACACAAAATTCTTGAGTTTAGGCAAGCCAAGGTTAGTTTATTTCATTGTACCAGTATTTCAGCTGACGAAGCTACTGTGTGGAAACCTCATCGTTTGGGAGGTTTCAACATTTGCTACGGATTTCCATCAAATGAACTTTCTTGTTGTCGCTAGCTACGGTTGCCGGAGATGAGCAACTTTTATCTCCAGCAGTTGCCTTTCACCAATCGCAGATGAATCCGATGGCAGATACATATAATTCTGTAGCGAGAGTTCATATCTCTGTTCAATGGTCGCAATTTTTTGAGAAATGGTATTTTATTCCCACTAAACATATAACCTTCCAGAAACATTTCGATTCTACCCTATTGTGGACTGTTTGAAACGTAAACCAGGCGTTTCGTGCAGGTTTCCCGAATATTTTTTAGTTGCAAGAACGTTTGAACGAAACCAAAATGAAACGTTTCAGGAAAAAGGCACCCATGTAAGAATTCATGTTCTAATGCTGCTTCTACTACTATATTTTACTTCAACGCTTGTTCAATTCTCAATATTGTTTATGCCTAAACTTTGGTATCCCGCCTAAAAATTTAGATGAGCGAGAAATATGTATTTAGTAAGTCGAATTTCTTGTAGTTAAGGAAAGTTGTGATGGATGGGAGAAGCAAGTGTGAATGCGGAAAGGGGAGGAATCGGTTTCGGTATCAGACAGTACAAGGTCAGAGGGAGACGACTGAAACGAGACGAGAGTCAATGATAGCTTAGACAGCGTGAGATGAGCGTGAGCTCAACAACACTCAATCGCCAACTAATACTACAGTCCTATTTCGAGTTTGTGAAATATCTAGTCACTGTTCCTGATTTCTGAATATATGTGTTTGGCAGTGGTAGTCAAACCTGATAGTTAATTTGTGATCCATCGTATACAGTTGCTTAGTTTCGAGGAGGCAAAAAGGGTCATACGGATTCACGAATTATTTTTATCAAGAACGATTCCACATCCGAAGGAAATGTGAATGATATTGGTGAAAGGCACGGATTACCATCATGAGAAGCTGTTTACATAAAAAGTAGGATCTATCCTTTTGGCATTCGAATTATATTGGTTGGCTGTACATTATTTCGCCGTTTTGAGGACAGTATAGTGTGTTTTAGAGATGTTACTTGAAAGTATTCATAAGGCTATGTTGGGCTAGTGTGCACTTGATTAGACTATTTGCGTTTTCGATTTCTCACATTGATGTGATGGGTAATTGCTTACTGTTTGTGGAATAAGAATAAGTAGTACCTAATAAATTTGTCTGTTTCTACTGTCTATGTATCTTTATTTCAACACCATATCCACTTTCTTTGAAGGGTTGATAAAACTATATAAAATCGGAAACCATTAAGAAACGTGTCTAGGACAGAATTTTTTTAAACGCATCCAAGACATTTTTGTTGGAACGTGCCCATAACGGTTGTCTTGGAACGTGTCTGGGAAGATGTTGTTGAAATGTTTCATGAAACTTCACTGAGGTAGGACATTTAAATTCTCTCGAAAGTTTCTGAAACTTCAGAGAGACTCAAGTGGGAAGGTTTCAGATATCCGCAAGACATTTTTGAAACGTTTCTGATACTGAAATATGTTTAGTGGGTTGCTCCTCATTCGACTTCACAATAATAAAAAGAATTATATATGACTGAACTTGAAATTGAGGTTATAAAAACAACAAAATCTTTCAATATTCAATTCATGAATTGACAAATATATTTTCAACCACAACTTCATCAGCAGCATCAACTACTACCCTTGCTAAGTTTATAGAATGAGCTTAATTTCAAACGTGTGATATGCATGATAATATTTGGAGTACAAGAATATAAATAAATATATCATTCCATATCTTATACGAAATGGAGTTGAGGTATATTATTTGTGTTCATGGGAACAATTTGTTTATATTTTCAATTTCACTACCTTTGTTCACGAAAACACATATCATTAAATTCGTTATGAGCCCTATATCAGAATATTCAATATAATATGAGTCATTGCATCCAGATTTGGAAAGTTCATGTAAGTATGAGGTGAAGTATTTGGTAATTGTATTATAGATAAAGAAAATATTTTCATATATAGGATGTCCGCGATATCTGATTGAACAATCCAGTTATTAAAAAAAAAACTTGTTCCGAACGTTGATCTCTGCACCCTGTACATCGAAGAGGGCCAAAAATAAAAAAATTACATAAAACAAAATCGAGGAACATATGCGGTTAACGGATTGACCTCCTTTTCACGGACACCCTGTATAGGTATTATCTGAATTGGAGATTGTGAAGATTAAAATGTACCTACCTTCAATATCAGTACTGGTGCTCTCTTTCCAGGAATAAGAGCTGTAGAAATTATGATATCCACTTCTTTACACTGCTTGGCGAATAAGGCGTGCTCTGCATCAATGAACTCTTTAGACATTTCTTTACTGTAACCACCAGTTCCGCCACCTTCTTCCTGTAAACATATCGAATCATTTATGCAACAAAGAACATGTTCCAATTTGATAACAAAATATTCCGCTTCACAAGTTTTGATTATGGGAAATCCATTGAGCGTTTTATTTGCCGAAATTTTCATGGATAATATACAGCGATTAATATACAGGGCATGATTTAATTGTTGGCTTGATTTAATTGTTGGCTGAAAATAAGAGGATGTGATTCTTAGGTCAAAAAAAGTCCATATCATGACTTCATTACTGATCTAGATATTTTAATAATTTTCATTTCTATTCAAATAAAGTCAATTGATTGAATTAGCCATAACGGTTTTTATTTTTGTACGCGAAATCTGTGCGTGGTACGGACAAAAATCATCGAGTCAAATTGTTGCAAAGGCATACCATGTTTTATTTAGAAAAATCACCAGTATACATTCCATACGGACGCCACTGGTAGAAATATTGAAAAATCTCCTCCATCAAAAAATGCCTATTGATGCTCAGTAGGTACATACATGTCTAATTTTATTAGGATATTTTCTTTTCCTAAAAACGTAACACCTTTTAGCTTAAGAGGTTTAGGGCATATGTTCATATGAATTTTTCTTCTTAAAATGAGCTTTTAGCCATCAATCAAATTACACCATGTATAAACATCTATTCATACAACGATTTTTTTTATCTGTATGGGTTCGTAAATGACGTAATAGTATGCTTTATATGCTTATTATCAACATATATTAATGACTCCCCTTAATCTATGTTATCAACAATATATCAATACGATTCACCCAAATATAAAATTCACAATGGAGATAAAAACAGAAAATTCGATCAATGAGGGCTAAAATTATTTTTTGCCCACCAAAACGCGCCACTGAAACGTGAGAGGGTTGGTAGAGCTGATAAATAACTTCTTATTTTCGTGTCATTTGGCATCTTTCTATATGATATCTTAATTTTCTCATTCGTGTGCCCCAAAAGATGAAAAAACGAATTTTCTGAATTAGGAGTAGACTATTAAATTTGCTGTCAACTGATGTCCTCACAGATAACTTATTTTGAGTTCGATCATATCATTTTGCATCTCAGAAATATCAAGAGAACTATAATATTAGATAAGGAACATAAATATCTTGAATTGTACAGGATTGCCTATTATGAGTTACCTATACTTCGGGCGTTTCACTTTACGCCCGTATTCAGATTCTCGAAATGAGCTGTTATTATCTAGAAATAACCCAAAGTTATGTATTTTTAAATGGAACACCCTGTATATTTTCCCATGTTTGAAACACTGATACTTTGCGCTTTTCGAGAAACTATATGACACTTATACGATATTTTGAGTATTAGCCATATATTTAGACAATTTCCAGTTTTTTAGTAGGTCTTTCATTGAGGGGCCTTGTAAATATGTAGCAACATTTTCCAAATCATAAATTTTCATATTAACCTTGTTGCTGACATAGTGTTTGGTCAAACACTATCTTCAATTTTATGAACATTCAATATTTACCAATATTCTGCACTATTTATTGACTACAAAAGCTGTGAACCTAATTAGTAGGTGGCCATGAAAAAAAAACGAGTTCAGAATGTTTTATAATCCTTGTCATATACCTGTTGAATTTTCCAAATTTTCATACAACGGCGGATAATAATCCAGAATATAAAAACTACTGAAAATTAGATTGGTTACTGAATTTCCAGTTTTGAAATCCTGGATTATTATTCGCAGTTGTGTCTGAAATTTGTGAATTCGACAAGTAGGTGACAACTGACCAGGATCATAAAACATTTTGAAAATCTGAATATGCCAGAATTATAAGAGGCAGTTTTTACTTTAACATTTTCGCCCTGTATTTACGGGCTATGAAAATGCTGTTTGCAGTATCGCGAGTTTCACAAAAAAGTAGCCAACGTTCGGGAAAAAACCAAATCTCTATCTCTGAAAATAAATGAGATATCCCGTAAGAACATTCGAACTGGGAGTTTAGGTAATTTTTAAATAAAGAAAAACAACATTGTTGATAGTATTTTTGAATTTGTCATTTGAGATTATCCTTCTATATTTTGAAAAATAAGATTGCTGGTTTTAGAGATAATTATCCGTTACCGTTCTTTCGACTATTGTGCCATAACAAAGAATCATGTTGTGAAAATGTGTTCAACAGCTTTCCCCGAAAATAGAAGATAATCCTGTATTCCCAGAAATGGATGGGTGTAGTAGAATATTATGAAGAAATTGCAGTACAAGGAATGGAAATTTGCCATTGTCAGGCCATTAGGCCCTCTAGGGGTCTCTACCTGTTTCTATATTAGGGTGCTCGCATTCATGACCATTTTCCAAAAACCAGCTTAAATAGATATATTTCTACCAAGTTATTTGTATTACCATTACTTTTGTGCTTTAATCATCAGCGTTAGGCAGGAAGTAAAATAAACAGGAATATTTCTGACTCTATTTATCTCTTCCTCTCAAATTATAACCGTACGAATTCGGTTCGTTTTATTTGCTGGGATTCTTTTATGGTTCAACTATATTTTAACAGCGACAATTTAATTCATGTAGGTACATCCAAAAAATTCCATAAGCCGCAGTGATTCTGTCATTATGACAGCGAAAAAACTTTGCCCTAAGTTATCCAGGGACAAAACGGAATCTAACATTTGAAACTATGATAACCAGACTTTTTCTCAATCCAGATCAGAAATGTCTGTGACTGGAGAAATAGGAAATAAGTACAATCAACAATAAATTTCGTATTCATTAAATTGTCTTACCGAATTACAGTCGAGCATTTTTTTTGGGTCGAAGTAAACTTAAAATTTATAATTCGAGGTTTGCTGCCTTTAAGAAATTCAACTCAAAAATATGCCCAAGTTATTTCGTTCAATTTATAGGCAACAAAATTCTCATTGAAATGTCAAATTTACTTCGACTAAAAATGCTCTCGTGGTATAATAAGTGATGAGAAAGGTGCATATTTTTTTATAAATGTCAAAATGTCTCACGTCATCGTCAAATGGCGTTTTCTGTGGAGAAGTTGATTTATCAGTATGAATATGTGGATGAGAACATTCGTTTTGAGCCTACATGTGCAAAAAACATTTTATGCAAGACCGGGCGTAAAGTAGCAATTTATTGCCCGGTTTTGCGGGCTTAAAGTGACACTTTACCGCCCGCGGACTACTTCATGGCCCGGCATATAATTAACTCATAATAGGCATTCATGTACAATTCAGGACATTTATGTTTCAGTAGTGATGGTTCCTTATCTAATATTATTCTCTTGATATTTCTGAGATGCAAGATTATATAATCGAACTCAAAATAAGTTATCTGTGATGTCACCAATTGACAGCAAATATAATAGTCTGATGTTAATTAAAAAAATTGACTTCGAGTTACCATGGTAACGTCGATTCCATCAATGATATTCCTCACTGCAGTTATTAGTCCAGTACCTGGGGGGTATATTGAATAGGGGTGTTTGAATGCAAAAGGTGGGGTAGTAGCGATTTTTTAGTATGTTATTAGGCCTGGTCCCTAATGATAAATCCAAGTTTTCGACCTCGAGGTGCATACAATCGAACCGCCATCGTGGATTTTATGTACAAGCATTTTTTTTTATAATAACTCAAAAACTGTGGCTTTCAGGACAAAAGATATTCCACACAAAATTGAAGAAGACAAAATTACTTACACATCCTCTACAAAAAAGTTCAATCATTTTGAAGAGATTTATGTAATACCGTAATTGCCGCCCTCTACAAGTGACATCCAAACCTGATGCCAAATTTCGTGACGCTTTGTAACCCTGTAGATGAATTGTTGAGAAATAACGAACTGCAAATTGAAACTTTGACACCCTGTATCTTTGTTATTATCAACTCTTGTTTGGCTATATCTCAATATTTTTATTGAAGGAATCTAAAGTTTTGCTGTATACCCTTAATTAGCGTACACCCTGTATAATATCAACTGAACAGGAAGCAAGTTTTTGTATCGACTCCTGTCAGTGAGAAGTGTCAACTCAAAAATCCCACGATAATTTGCCGAGAATATTTTCTATTTTTGAGTAGGAAACGGGAGCAGATTCGTTCCCGAAACGTCCAAAGCTAAGTGGAAATTTTATATTTTTCGATAATACATTATCGTCTTCTTCAAATATTTGTAAAAACTGAGTGTAACTATTCGAATTTTTTTCTTAGGTGATGTTAATGAAATTCTTGAACGCATTGACGTTTTGGAGCAAATCATCTGATTTGTCCCTAGAACACATTATATTAAATAATACTCATATTTCTATTCTATTCATAAAAACGAGGAGAAAATCACAAAAAAATCTAGAAAAAAAATATTCCACCGCCTCGATTAACCTAGACAGTATCAAAAGAAAAACGAACAGCACAAAGTCGGTCAACCACACTAGATTAGATTAGATTTAGAGTGGGGCCTTCGGGCTATCTGTCTGCCCTAAAAATCGTTTAGAGTCCTTTGGCTAGCCCCGCCTTCTTTATGAGACTCCATAGGCTAGCTTTCAGATCCCCTGTGTAACTTTGAGCTCTTGTTTTTTCCTCACCCAGCGTAAGGAACCTTAGTCTTGACAAGCCCTCACAGTGACAAAGTATGTGTACTGCTGTTTCCTCCTCTTCCTGACAAAACCTGCACAGCAGTTCTTCAGTCAGACATATCGTACTCATGTGTTTGTTGAGCCTACAATGCCCTGTGAGAAGTCCCACTGGTATTCTAGTTGTACTTCGTTTCTGGCTCTGTGAATGTTGGCGATGGTTTTTTAATAAACTCTTTTGCCTGTCTCATTCCTGGCGAGTTGTTCCACTATTCTTGAGATTTAGTTTCCATCCATGATTTGATAATTGTCTTTTGTATAGCTTTCGCAATACCACAAAAGGATTCAAGACCATTCACAGCTTCGTTTGCTACTGCTCGGGCAAGTGAGTCTGCCTCTTCATTGCCCTCGTACCCTGTATGTGCTGGTACCCATGCTAGAGTCAGTCTGTTCTGACTGCCAGTTCATTTAGGGTTTCTGAGCAGTCCTATTGATTGCCGCCTGGCCACCCGAATAGATTGCAATGGTTTTCCCTTTAAACTCTTGCCTTATCAATTTCTGCCTGGAACACCGTCGCGTATTTGCCCAAGCTCAGTGAGATTCTTCTTTGGCTTGGCCCTATAAATACCAGCTCCTGACTCTTCCTCGGTGTTGGTGCCATATAGACAGCAACTCGGACAGCAATGTCTGCATTGATAGGAAGTCCTTCCTTCCATGCCTCTGTCCGTTATAAATATTTTAAGTTTTTCCAAAGCTTTATTTTGGAATTATGCCATCTGTTGGCATCTCCATCATGGGGTCGGTTTTCAACTCTCCATATAGCTTCCTGTAGTCTTTACCGTGCGTGTTGCTTATGGGTGTTTGACCCCTGGACAATTTACTCACGACTGCTCTGGCTTCACCTTGAATGTATATTTGTAGTGGTGGCAAGTTCAAGAGGACCTCTAAAGCGGCTGTTGGAGTGGTTTCCATTGCACCAGTGGCACTCAGGTAAGCTTGCCTTTGAATGGCACTGAGCCTTCGAATCACTCCAGCCTGTTGTGTCTTAATAAACCTAACTACCGAGCCATATGCTATCATGGGCCTGATGACACTGGCATTGAGCCATGTGGTCTTTTTTGGGTTGCAGTACCCACTTTTTTCCGCACATTCGTCTGCAAAGATTGAAGGCTACTCTACTTCTTTGATCCACACTAAGAGACATTATTTAAAAACAGTTTTTCTACGAGTCTAGCAATTATACCTGCATCCAGAGAAAAACTTGCAATTTTATTGTTTGTCGTCGTGATTAGACATTTGAGTCTGAACTCTGCCACAAGGAAATTCACAATGCGCTATCGTCACCCGTTTTCAAAATGATTTCCATACTGTTCTGAATATATCTATGTTTTTTCTTTGGTTTATTTTGTATTCGGCATTTCTTATATTTACCTTAATACTGACAGTCAAGAATTCTGCCCCAAGAGATTCCACCTGTTCTTTGACAACTGATCTCGTGTCGAATGCTCGTACGATGGCTCCCATATTTTTTGCTTGGCCAATAGCCGCTAAACCGGCAACTCCTCCTCCAATAACCAAGATTTTCGCGGGTGGCACTTTACCTGCAGCTGTTATCTGACCTAAAAAATTAAAAGGTTCAATAACAATAACAAAAAAATAATCAGGATTTTATTGATTGGTTATTTCTTGAGTTTTCTGGAGGTGGCAGATTTACTAAAACTACATCTTGTTAAATATTTATCTGCATGTGTTCGACTGAGTAAACTCAATCTAGACCAGCAGAATATTTTCGTCAAGAAATGCCCTACTCTTTGAGATGAATAGCCGCCAAATTACAGTAACTGGAGATACACAACTTGAGCGAAAAAATACCAATCATTATCAAAGGAATATGCTCTAGAAAACATGAAACAAAAGCATTCTGAATATGTGTCACGTCAAATATCGGACACTGCTGCACTACCCCTGCATCATATTGCCCTCTGAACGTCTATGTATTCTTCATTACAACTCAATATAGGGGTATTGTCATGAATTTAATTTTTTTAATCCTTTTCAAGGTATTTCCAGCAGGTTTACCATTTTATGGTTGCACATATTTCCTGGATAAAAATGATAGACTCTACACATATAACTCGATAAGGGTAATAAAACAGCGTCCGTCTCCCATGCCATCATATGTGTATAAGACTACTTGAAGAGCTCCTATTTTTATATTCAAATATTTTTTCATGTGAAAATTTCATAAATGATTTCTCAATTGCTACATTGAGACCACATTTATTGATATCCAAACAAAAATGTCATTACAGTTACAAAAAAACTGTCAAGTCAACTATCAAGCACGCATGATGATATGCATTTTATTTGAGCGGATACTTATTCCATTAAAATGTCCTGTTTCAATTTTGATTTCCGTACAGAACATTGCACAAGAAAATGAAAAGTATCATATCGGCTCTTTTTGAAATATCATTCGAAATTTTACATTTTTTTTATTTGTAAAGCAATAAATGTACTGTTTGCAAAAAATGATTTCGATTCCTACTCACAGGTGTATATTAGAAGGCTTTGAATCCAGTCGCTTGATTGAAATAATCTCATATAAGTACAAACCTGCAAAAAATCTTGGGAAATGGTTTGCTGCCTCTACTACAGCTCGATATCCAGAAATATTAGCCATCGAACTTAATGCATCAAAAACTTGAGCCCTCGATATCCTTGGGATGCAGTCCATTGCTGAAATAGATTTAGTTCACTAGGAATGAGTCATGAGTGAAAAAGTGTTTTTCTACTAGCGTGCGAAAAAAGTCCACTTTTCCGCATTACTGCGGAGAAATTATAATAATACATGTTTATTTGGGTGGGCCAGGTAGCCGTGCGGACAGAGTGTCTATATTCTAATTCGCATTCGCTTGCCGGTCGTGGGTTCGATTCCCATCGACTGTAGAAATTTTTCTGATGGCCCAAGACAGTGTTTGGGATCACACGTTAAAAGGTAAGGCCCCCGTCATTCCTTGCTCGCACAAGACTTTCGAAGACTTTTGAGGGTTGCTCGTAAGGGGGCAACCGAATGACGGATAGAACAATTTTAGAACAACAACAATTTACGTTCACTTTTGGGTTTTTCCGCACGCTTGTAGAAAAAATTGTGTACCGTGAAGTAACTCTTACATATGCGATTGCTGGCCGAACTCTTTAATGTGAGTTTTCAGTACTATATGAGCTAAACCGCTAACACCATGGCAGAAACATAATATGGTGTAATACTAACATCTATAAAATTCGTTTTCTGTGCATAACGTCAGTGCTATAACACAGCATTATTGATGTTATTACAGTTATTTAACACACGCGAGCTCGCTGGCAAATGTTTTACGTGCAAAGATGCGTCGTAGCACACCATATTATATTTCCACCATGGCCCACACCATGATATACAGATACGATGTAAAATAAATCAACATACCAAATGCGTTAATTTTCCTTCTACCTAATTGGTCAACTAAATCTTTGTTTTGGGCAGGGTACAGGAATGATATGAGTGTAGATTCTCCCCTAAATTTATTTACCTCATGTTCTAAGGGTTGACGAACTTTCAACACGATATCTGTGAAAATAAAAACATAAAACATTAATATGGATGATATCAGCTAATGCTAGCTTTCAAATAGAATAGAATTTTGAAACACATATTTTATCTCAACATCCATATTGATATTCGTAACCATTTTTGAATTATTGAACTTTGAAAATTCCAGGTTGGCCATTTTCATCGATACAAATTCTTATCTTCATAAGTCCAATCAATAACTAAAGTAAACAAGTTTTTTTATTGAAACAATTGAAACCGGAATTCCCTTCAAAATCTTAACGTGACTCTCGAAACATTCACCAAATTCTGGAAGTTGGGTTTATCAGTTGTAGAGAGATAGGAGCGCTAGTACTAGAAGTTGTGCATTGCTTCGCTATGTTCTCTATCACACAAAAAATCAGTTGGTTGATAATCAAGTACAACAAAGTCACTATTTTGACAACTTTCGGGATAGTGAACGTGCCGTATGACCTAATATTTAATTGTTTAGCTTCTGTTATTCAATTATCTTACAAATGGTTTAATAAACAAAAAAACTAGGTGATAGGCAATTGTTTTCGATATTATACCCTATCAAACTGATGAGTTTTCTTGCTAAACAGTAAAAAACGACGCATTTACAAATATTTTCGCAAATGGAAACTTTGGTTGAGGAAAACTGGTCCAGTCCTGTGAACTATTACCGTTCGATAAACTATAAATCTGGCTATGATATATTCAATTATCAATTTATTATTGATTCGTACCTGAGGAAAATGCTTTTTGAGTATCAACCAATTTAGCACCAGTGCTTTCATAGTCTTTATTTCGAAATTTTGATAATACGCCAGCATCCTCTTCTATCTGCACTGTAAATCCTTTTTTCACTAAAGTTTCTGCTACTGCTGGGGTGACTGCAACTCTGAAAATCAAAACAAATTCATTAGTCACTGGTCCTTTAAGCTATTCCAATTTCAATAACAAATTGAATTCTGAAAGAAACTAGAAACTTTTCAAGTCCCTCAGACCAATGAATTCATGATGGTTATCATAATTTGTTGATGACGAGGTTGATGATTAGAAATTTTGTATGATTTTTATTGGGCAGTTTGGGATTTGCCAATTACTCATCAAAATAAATATACATTGCGAATTAACATAGTCAATTACTCATATTACAATTAATGTTAAACTCTAATAATTACGTACATAAAGTATTAATTTTATTTATCGCTCAATAAAATATACTCAATTTACCTTCTTTCATTTTTCCATAGTTCCTTCGGTACGCCTATCGTTAAACTTTTATAAGGTACTCCTTTAATTTCGGATGCTTTTCCAACACTTCTTGAAGTAGAAAATGAACGTTTTCCCGCATATTCTAATACTGCATTATTGTAATTCCAGAAAATTGTTGAGTGGGAACGACAGCTCTTCAAATTGAGGGAAATATCACAGACTTGCTTTCGTGAATAATTATATAATCTCAGAACACCACGTGCCATTTTTTATATCGTAGTTTCTATCATTCGTCTGAAACAAAAATAGTTACTTGCCTCATGTACTGTTTGGCCATTATTTTTTTCTTTATCATTCAAGCCAACCAGTGTGAACACAAATCATTATCATTATCCGTTTTTCATTTGTAGAAAAATATGTGCGGATACCTCACCAGTGAACTAAGTATTTCTGCCCAATATTAATTCTCTATAACAGCAGAAATCACCAAAGTAATAGGTTCGAATTGATTTTACCAGAAAAAAGTACATCCAATTGAAATAATAAGAATAATTATTATTGTAATACCTATATGTATTTCTCTAGATTTTTCGGATTTTCTCTCTTTTACATGTGAAACAAAGATAACTCTCTCAGTAAGGACGAAATAACATAAATACAATATAAAGAGAGGACATAGCGACAAATCAAAATTTGTTTAACATATCAAATGGATAACATAATATGGCAGAGTGAAATGATATAGAAATCATGGGAAGAGAAGATAACAACCAAAACAGAGAAATCGAAGAACCCGTTTGCAATCTTCTAAACGGATATGATAATAACATGGCTTCCTGTTCAATTGATATATATAAAACATGGTAGTAACTCCTAAAATATGAATTTGGAAATGACGAGGGAAATGGTACAGGGTGATTCACCATAAATGTCCCCCTCCTCTGGCCCAGTTATTTTTGAAACGATTTCAAAATTTGAAATATCATCTTAAATGATTTTCGATAAAGTTTTTTTTCGCTACATCAGAAAATACAGGGTGCTCGGAACAAACGATCTACAGGGTACTATTTGATTTTTTTGAATGGAACAACCTATTTTTCATTGTATTTTTAGGTTTTAGGGTGTTCAAAATCGGGATTTTTTTTGTAACGAAACTATTCATTATCGGTTTCAAAACGGCTTTCATGTCCGTATCTCAACTTTTGATTCACTATCTACTGACATTTAATAATTGGAACAGATACAGGGGGATCAGAATTCTCAATTTTGAACCACGCTGTAAATGTTTCAATTAAATGTCAGTAGATAGTAAATCGAAAGTTGAGATAGGGACATAGGAGCCGTTTTGACCAATAAGTATCGACACAAAAAAATCTAAGTTGAAAAATCTAGATTTTGACCACCCTATGTCTCTGTAATCATTCCCGCTAGACCCCAAGTGTGATATATTGATGAAATCAGCTCTCCAGGAAGAATCTAAAAATACAATGAAATACAGGGTGTTCCAATTGAAAAAATCAAGTACCTAGTACTCAGTAGATCGGTTGTTCCGAAAACCCTGTATTTTCTGATGCAACGGGAAAAAAGTTCCCGAAGAATCATTTTAGATTATTTTTCAAATTTTTAAATCGGTTCAAGAATAAGTAAGCTAGAGGGGGGGACATTTATGGTGAATCACCCTGTACATTCAAAATCGATAAGAACAACACCTTATATCTAACACATTTTTCTGACAACTTCTGTCACTGAGTATAGTATCAAAAAACGAAAAAGAAAAGATCAATCTCAAGAATTATTTTGTTTTTTATTGTTGTAAACGAGATTAGTTCCCGAAACCTTTGGTTGGTTAAGAACTCCCATACATATTGAAATGCAAGAGAGAGGAAAACAATTCAAATTTCTGTTTCCTATTTAGTTTCAATGAAGACAATATCCATATTATACTTCTACTTACATTGTATTGCTCTTTTCAACTTCATATTATTTGGCTATGATATTGTATTTTTTTATGGGTTTAGAATTACAGGGTGACATTTCAAAAACTTCCCTTCCTCAATTCGCGATAGAAAATAACACGTCTCCCCACCTGACGGCAACAATGGGCGTGTACACAATGTGCCTTTTATACATAAATAATGATTGACGACATAATTCGATCGAAAAATTAACTGGAATGTTTTATTCTTGGACATAAATAATAGTACCTTCTGAAAACGGACCCTCTTATGACGTAGAAACCTCATCTCGCCATAGTTAAAAGAAAATAGCAAACGCCCGACGGAGACTGAGGTAACTGATATATTAATTCTTTCAACTGTGATCTCGCGCTAATTCACTCTGTCAGAAATCATGTATCATTCATCTCTGTCTGGACTAGTCTTGTTTCAGTATTAGGGTTTTGACGTCACATCATCGCCTCGTTTTCAGAGGTCCGAAAAATCGGGAATTTCAATATTTTTTATAAAACGTAGGGAGCTCACAGCAAGAAACGGTTTGCGGTGGTGAGCTAGTTTGGGTGAGTTCTATCGAATTATGAAATAAAATTTTTTTGTGATATAAGCCCATTGAACACTTCTGAGTGGTTTGTTTTGATATGGCCAATAAGCACGATCAAAAAACAAATGTGAACTAATGAAAACAAAGTAAACATGCCGCTTTGGCAGCTTGCAAGAACTCCCATAGGTGGCGTACGCTTATTTTCTGCGCGAATATCTTCTTTTTGTAAATAATATGAAAAATCGAAAAGACAGCTCAATTTTATTCTCAAGAACGGACACTTGAAATGAGTATTTCTAGCCATCTTGGTTCAACCCCCTAGGAGGGGGAGATGTTACCATTAGAATCTCAAATGGATAGGGCGGTCAAATGAAACCTTTAAAAAGCCCTATTCCGAAACGAGCAATTTCATAATTGCTATAATATTTTGTGTTGAAACGTAGGTAGTTGAAACAAAGTTCTTTCTTGTATAACGATGCTTGGGATGAGTCAATTTGATCTCTACACTTCAAAATGCATTTATTTCAAAATATTCCCATACAACACGGGATATCCTATGGACGTCCAAATCATGTCCAATTCATGTCGGGATATCCTTGGACCTTTTTGGATATCCATAGGATATCCAAAATTCACCCGCGCGGATATAATCAATGTAATAAATTGTGAATATGAATTAAATTGATGAAAATTCAAATCTATGTGTGTACATAGTTATATTACTAGGAAATATATAATATATCGAATATGGAATTTTTCAACGTCTTCTTGGATATCCAATGGATATCCATGGGATATCCTGTATTGGAGCATTGAACCACGTCGTTGAACAATAACGCCCAGAATAACATAGAGATGTCGACAAAGTCGGCAGTGTCGGACTCACCAAACATATTTTGGATGTCCATGTGGGTCCCATATATTTAATAACAACTATATGGGTAACGTCCTATCCTTTCCTTGTTCAAAACCTAACCTAGCCTAACCTGTATTTTATTGCATTTCACGATTCTCCCTGAAGAGCTGATTTGATCGATGTATCACACTTGGGGTCTAGCAGAAATGATTACAGAGATATTGTAGGTGAACTTCAGGAATGTTTTGTGTCGAAACTATTCGTTATTGGTCAAAACGGCTTTTATGTCCCTATCTCAACTCTTGATTTACTATCTACTGACATTTAATTGAAACAAATACAGGGTAATTCAGAATTCTGCACAACCCTGTATCTGTTTAAATTGAATATCAATTGATAGTAAATGAAAAGTTAAGATATATGTATAGGTATATGAAATCCGTTTTGAGCAATTATGAATAGTTTCGACACAAAAAATTCCTGAATAAGTTGAGAAATCTCGATTTTTCACCTACAAGACCCCAAGTGCGTGAAACATCGATCAAATGAGCTCTTCAGGGAGAATCATGAAATGCAATAAAATACAGGTGTTTTCATTCGAAAAAACTGTCAACTCAGATTTTTCTCAAATACGTATCATCCTGTCTGAGGCTTTTTCGCAAACATTGTATCACAGAGATATAGAATTTATGCGTTATACTTCTATGGACGCACTGTATACATTATATTAAGTTATTTGTCCCTTCCCACAATGAAGGATTTAATTTTTTTTGTGATCAATATATTGCAGGTAATGTTTAATTTCATTCTTTATTAAATATTATTATTATAATTATTGTTCATTATCATACCCAGTGAACCATTATCATAATATTTCAAACCATGAAATCAAATCATGGACATCCGAATGTCATCTGGAAATTAATTCAGGGATTATGGAAATGGACATCTAAATAGTATCCAAAGGATATCCTATGGACGACCAATGGATATCCTAGTCCGCCAACCTAGATGTCCATAGGATATCCTATATGAACACCCATGAAAACATAAGGGATATCTTATGGACGTCCATGAAGGATATCGTATGGACGTTCTTGAACGATGTTCTATGGACGTCATTGAAAGATATTTTATGGACGTCCGTGAAGGATATCCTATGGACGTACAAGTTGGTGGCCTCAGGACATCCATTGGACGTCCATGGGATATCCATTGGACGTTATTTGGATGTCCATTGGATATCCAAAATATCCTGAATGGATATCCTATGGACATCCATCGGATGTCCATGTGTTGTATGGGTTGTGATGTAGCAGAGTCCTTTGATTGACCTTGTCTGTGACGACAGCTAGGATGCCTCAATTTTATCACTTTGATAAAACGTGTGATGAAACACTACCTATTTTGTAGCAATGATACAAGTTATAATAATTCTAGATGCAAGTTGCAATAGTTTTAGATAGTTGTGCTGAAACATAGTTCTTCGATTAATCTCGTTTGTGATGACGCCTAGAATGCTTCAATTTTATTACGTTTATTGAACGTCTGATGAAGCACTGTTTTGTATCAATGATACAAGTTATAATTCTAGATTCAAGTTGCCGTCTGTGATGACGCCTAGAATGCTTCAATTTTATCAAGATGATAGAACGTGATGAAACACTGTTTTGTAGCTATATGTTTCACAACGGGTGTAATGAAACATTTTTTTAATGATCTCTCTTGTGATAGAGCTAAGACATAATATGTGGACAACTGGGTTCTTCTCACTCCGTTTGTATGACTCTTGCCATACCCTCGAAAATTTCTCTTATCCTTATTTATACCAGTGTACAGGGTGGCCAACTAAGAATCCAAAGTTCGATATCTCTGTTGTCTTGAGAGATACAAAAAAAAGTTTCGCATTCAAATCAAAGTGATTACCAAGCTTCACATTTCA